TGTGTCTGTTGTTGAGGTATGCTTGTTTCCGTGAAGCAACAAAGACAAATATCCCTTTGGGGTTGATAAAGTTTATTCTATTCTATATTCTTTCTCCCCACTGGAGGAATGTTTTTTCCTTTTCACCTTCAGGACAATGTGTCACATTTGCACACAGGATATCTCATAAGTTCCTTCTATTGTCACGACTTTTAAGTATTAAAGCAACTAAAATGCATTTAATCCTGTTAAATCAGCAGTTTCTTGTTCATATTGTGAGATGTAATTCACATCACAGCCTCTAGGGGCTGCTAGTGGGTGCTTTAACATTTATATTTGTTTATAATTATTTTTTATTGAAAGTATATTGTTTTACTTTGTTTAGACTCTAAATAAGATACCATACTATTCTCATTCAATTGGCAATTGGCATCAAGGCTTTCAGGCGGCAAAAGCAGAAACATATATAAGTTCTGCTCGCTTATGTCCTTGCAGACATTCAGTTTGCTGTGCACACTGTTGCCTCAGGTGAACGCATCAGTTTCTAAAGAGGAAGAAAGTGCGACAGATCATGTGACAGTTCCCTCATAAAGAGACTTCTCAACCAGGAACAGGCAGTCAGGGTGGCTTCAGCACAGCAGCGATGACAGCGACACATCAAGGCAAGTGGAACACTTTTCATCCACCTTCACACCTTCCAGAAAACCATATCCAATCATAAAATCATGTTCAGCTCTTTATGCTCGAGTAGGGGCAGTTCTGGAAGGAAAGTCCGGCAATAAGAGACTCTAACGCGAATTTACTTTTAGTTTCGTTTTTTATGTTTTTCACCGAGTTTCTTTGTGTTCAGACTGCAGGTGAACTTCTGACGGTCAATTATATCGTTAGAATATTCTTATAATACTGTTACAGGTTAACAGTGTGAATTAATAACGACTTTAGGACGACAATAATGTGTTTTAGTGTTTAATCTGGTTATTCTATTCTGTATTTAAAAACACCTTTGCCACCGTATACCCTTTAAACCATTTATTTATTTATTTATATTGTTCTCTTATTTATTTGTATTGTTCTCATTAGTATTTCTGAAAAGAGTAATGAGATAGACAAAAGTAACCAATCAAGGCCAAAGTGGCTGAAGTCCACTGTTACTCAGCTGATCTCACTGTTCTCACTGGGAGCTCTGCAGTTTCACATTCTGGTCAGATGTCACATGATTAAAGGAATAGATTTGGGTTACGTTTGGTGTTATGTGTCAATGTAATAACAGTAATAACATTACTTTCCCCAGTAACTAGTAGTGTAACTAGTTACTAATACATTTATTTATTTTATTTAAGTTACAACCTTACTTTTAATTTGTATCCAACAGTCCAATCCCATCCTTGGATTCATTTTTGTAATGGTGGAGGAAACTAGCTTGGAACATGGAAACGCTTACATTTAGAGGCTGGAAGTATTCCATTACTTTGATTTTAACAAACTGAATTAGCCCGAAGTAAGTTAGAATTTTGGGGAGAAGGGAAGCAATGTAGGAGGAGCAGAAAGGTTATATGAATACATAGATAGATGGCAGGGAGTAATAAGTAGAGTAAAAAAATAACTTTTGAAAAGAGTAATGAGTAATAAATGACATTTTCTGTGTAACTAGCCCAACACTGTTGAGGAGACTTTGAGTCTCAGCTGGTTTTTGTTCAGTGGTTCGTCGTCCTCCAGTGGATCAGGTGAAACTGGTAGATCTACATACTGAACTCTGGCACAAACTTTAACATTATTTACGCTACATTATTTATTAAAAGCTGATTCTCTCTCTCTCTGTCAGCAAAGAATTCCAGCCATCTACAGCTGTTCATTACTCATCTTAATGCTCAGTGACAGGCTGCGTTTCTCCAAATTTCTTGCTTGGTCATTAGTTTCAGTTCTGGTCTTGTGACAGTTGTGTCACTCAGGGATTTATAGCAGCTTTACATATTTGACAGTGATACTGAGGCTGCTGCTAACCATCGGACTGAGATCTCGACACCTAAATTTCACACTTGGAGTACATGATGGTTCCTCCCATCATGCAAGTAATGAGATGTTGTTAATAGTCTGCTTTGTAAATGTCATGACCAGCACCAGCACTAACCACAGACTCAAATATAGGTTGAATCAACACCTCTAAGGCACAGTGTTTGAACCTCATGAGCTTCACACTGACTGTCGGTGCCGTTGTGTTGGATTGTAGGCCTGGTGATGTGGTTGAAGTCATTAACACACTATCAATTACAGCAACAACAATTTTTTCAGATAAGCTGAAGGGTTTTCTTCAAAGTTATGCTTGTACAAAGGAAAACTGAAAAAAAAACATTGTTATGAAGCTGAAAACAGGTTTTCACTTTTAGGAAAGTGACGACTTGAAAAAATAAACTGAACCAAAATCAAAACTCAAACTGAACCAATTTAAATGAAATACATGGTTACATTAGGGTTATGTTTAGACCCATTTGCATTGGGAATATAAATTTAGGAGGAAACATGAAAGAATATGGTTTTGGTTCAGTGTTGAAGAAAAGTACACTGGGCTTATTTTTAAGCACCGCTAACCAAAACCACACTGTTAAACCAAGTGCTCTGAGTTGCCTAAACTTTGTTTGCGCGGGTAAAAAATGAATTGATCTATAAAATAATAACTTGAATTGAATAGGAGGAAATACATTTTAGGTTAGGAGAGGACTCAGTTAGAACCACATGTGTTCTTTTATAAGCTTTTATAAACAACTGTGTACCTTTACAGCAGTTTAGTAGACGCATATTTGCTTCCATTTGGGCCCAAACAATGAGGAGGCACAACATCTTCTCCTTTCTAACATATCTGTGGCCTCCATTACTGAGGTTTGTGCCCTAGGTGCTCTAGTTGAACAAGAAGATTATATTTGTGCTTCTTTATCTTTGATTGAATGGATATTTGCTGTTGTATTGTGTTTTTGGCATGCCTTTCTGATACACAAGCTGCACTATACACACAGGAAAGACATACTATAAGACAGCTTGTGGGTGTAGAAAAATAAAGGTCAGCCATGACTCTGTGTTCTGTTTCTACCTAACCGACGGGCAGAGGCAACACATACCTACAACCGACCTATGGAAACCACTTCCTCCTCAGCTGACTGCATGACAAACACAATACCTGCACTGTATCACTGTAGTAGTTTTCTACAAGCATTTCTTTGAGGCAGAGCGGCTCTAAATGCAAAGATTAAATGAAACCTAAGTGGAGCCAGTTCTTCTTAAAACTAGACAAAGTCAGGTGAGAAGTTGAGTTGTGAGATGGGATAGCAACGTTGGACTCTAATGCTGCTGTCATGAACTGAGAAATGTGTTTAATTTAATGCGACCTGAGGACATTTCGTCACCACCAGGTCCCCCAGTCTCTGAGAAGTGAAAACCATTCGTATGTTTCTGAGTCGAGCCTTGATCTCAGGCAGGCGGTTTGTTTTCTCGCTGTATCAGCAGCCGTCCGATCAAAGGTGAGGCGACATCCTGACTTCTTATGAGGTACATGTCTGTGTGTGTGTTTACAGGCAGGATGCTCGGGAGCCTGATGCTCGTCTCCCTGTGTGTCGGGGCGGCAGCCATGTTTCACAGCAAGCTGGATGCCCACTGGGAGCTGTGGAAGTTGACACACGGGAAGAAGTACCAAACTGAGGTATTAAAAATAGTGTATGTAAATAGAGTTTTCTTTTCTGTTTGTAGGAAGCAAAATCCATATGTGATTTATCGTTAACGTATACAGTATTTGACCTTATGCACTCTTCCTGTACGTCTTGAGGTGGAAGATGTGAGCCGCAGAGAATTGTGGGAGAAGAACCTGATGCTCATTACCATGCACAACCTGGAGGCCTCGATGGGTCTCCACACCTACGAACTGAGCATGAACCACATGGGAGATCTGGTGAGACACTGGTTCACGCTACTGTTTTACACTGAAGGGAAAGAAGGTTTTATTGATTTATGATTATCACTTTTATTCATTAGTGACCATGGTATTAATGACAGTGGAAAGGTCATTGATACAGACTAGATAGAGAATGACTAGTTTGAACTTTGAAGCTCAGCTAATCATTATAATAACGTATAGTTGGGTTTATTTTTATATATGCAGGAATACTTACAAAGCAGCAGGCAGCTGGACCCCCAAGGGGCCCCAGAGGCTCAGTGTTAGCGTTCTGTCAGTAGGTTGACTGAAATTAAATTAGATACAGCTTTTGGGGGGATATGAAACATTAAAGTTCAGTGGTAACTATAAACCAAATGTGTTATTCCCCCTGTGAAAGCTGCAGAAGGTAACCTTTATAAAAAAATACACTTTTTTGTCATATTTGCTAAAACTTTCATCGTCATAGAAATGTTGATCAGAGCCGCTTAAACTAATTGTTGCAGCGCCTCTCACATAGAAAGCTTCAGATAATCAGGAAATAAATTACAGTAAGTTTGCTTTAACCTTGTGCAGAATGTAAATTAATAAATGTTGATGCTGAGAACTGGGCTTTAACTTTTTACCCTTTCATAACTTTACTTTGCTTGAGAAACTATAGTTTCATGGCCCAGGCCTTTGAGACTTCACTGAATTAATGAGATTATTTCTGCTCTTAGCTCGACCACTGATCCACAGTTCCTCTTGGATGCGTTCACCACATACATTATGTAGTATAATAGCCCACAGTATATTCTAACTTAATGAGTGACTAAAGGACTCAGACTGCATACCGGCATATGATGTTTGGTTTGTGTCCTTTAACCTTTCTATTCACAATCCATGTCAGAGATTCTTTGGAAATATTCAAACTGAATATGAATCCAGTTTATTGAGCTTTATTTACGCCACAAGAAACATGGCTCACTGAACTACAGTGGAAGTAAACTGAGTTCACACTAAAACTGCTCAGAGGGCAGAAAGTTGATACTGTAAGTAAAGCACAGAATGAAACATGTTTATCTGGTTGACTTCATTGTCCTCTGTCGGTGTACTAACAGGAATGTTATCTGGGGCAAGTTTGATATTTTTCCTCTTGTTCCTGCTATAATACAAGGTTTTCATTTCCCAGAGAGGAATCATCATACATGAAATTAAAAAACGAATCGAAATTGTGACAAACTTTAAATCCAAATAAATAAAGTCATTATGGTGAATGTGTTAGCAAAACGTTTTTGGATTAGATTACAATACTTTTGTAAACCAATGGAACGGAGCTGAACTGTGGAGAAATACTCTCAAAAAATTAATAAAATGAACAATAACAGTTAGTTAGTGTTAGTGCACAGTGTGGAATTAAGAACCTTTTTGTGATTTTATTCTTCATCCTATGTACACATTTTTTTTAGATTAAAAAACATTTTAAATGACCTTTTTTCAAATGTAAGAAAATGTAGGAATTAGGATAATCAATTTTATAGCACGGTAGCGTCTAAGATTTTAATTCCAATTTACACTAAAGCTCAAACAGTATGTCAACTGATAGAAAATTAATCACAAATCAGTCTACTTTGATTACCAATTAATATTTCAGTCACTTTTCAAACATTTTCTGTTTTGAGCTTTTATTTGTCAGTAACTAGTAAACTGAATATATTTGAGTTTTTGATTGAAAACAAGACATTTGAAGACTCTGGTAAATTCTGATGCATCCTTTACTGTTTGATGATGATGATACTTTATTGTCAGATCGAGTCTAAACATTTTCTTGAATCCCATAAGAAAAGGAAGAGATATTTAAGGGCCTTCAATGTACATTTGATCTGGGATTAAGCTCCACATTTAACTTCAGAGTTGACTGGCACTTTAATAAATGATAAAAAATAATTCTTAGCGGCAGCCATATCTCACACATTTGTGACTTTAGATAATGGATTTCAGTCCAGTCAGAATGAAAAACGGACTGTTTACCCATTTACAAGAGTTAAATTTACGATGGTGCTAAACAAATATAGGCCATTTGAAACTGACCTCAGTGCTGCTCATGTCATCATTTATTATCTACTTCCTTACAGACACAAGAGGAGATCATGCAGTCTTTTGCCACACTCAGTCCTCCTACTGACATCCAGAGGGCAGCGTCTCCCTTTGCTGGGACAACAGGCGCCGATGTACCAGACACCATGGACTGGAGAGAGAAGGGCTGTGTCACCGGCGTCAAGATGCAGGTAAAAAAAACAACCCTGTGTGTTTCCATCAGTGACTCATATAACTCAGCATAAGAACACAGTCAGCAGGATTACTCCGAGCTGCTGGTGAAAGCAGAAACATCAGAGGTTTCGCAGTGATGCAGTCATCACCGCCATCACCGCCATCATGCCACCAGTCTCAGTTACCACACTCCTCGTGTCCCTCATAGAACAGCTTCTTGTTCACACGAAAAGTCGTCACCACTACCGCCAGTTTTGCAACATTTTTTTTCCACATCCACTTTGTTTTTGGTGGTGAAGAGGTGTGAGCTCATTGTCTGACATTAACACCAGAAAGTTTAGCACACCATTACCGCTGTACATTTTCTATATTTTAAATTATTGCACAGTTTACACCCACTTTTTTATTTTTATAAATGACTGTTCCAGGATTTAAAAAAGTTCCTAATGGAAACAAAAGTTAGAAACATCTTTACAGCCTTTGTTAGGCAGCTTGTTGCCTTCATTGAACCCAAATATCCATTTAATTTGAACTGTACTTTTTACTGTCAAAATAGATACATTTAAAGAGCTGTGTTGGAGCTACAGTACTACAGTATGTAAATTACATTTATGTGAAAAGACTCACTTGTTACATTATTTGTTTTTTCACATTTCTTGACGTTGCACAGGCAGATGTCAGCGGTAATACGTTGAAACATGATAGACAAAAATAAATCAAACCGATAAAAGATATTTTTGTGAAATATTAATAATAATAAAAGTGTATTTTAAAAATGCTCTTGTTTCAAACTCTTCTAAGAAGCTGATTTACAATACGAAGAAGTGAAATAATCTCATGGCAGATTGCTTCCCAAGTTTTGAGGAGAATAAAAAAAAGAGATTTTCAATTTATTACAAACTCGTGTTGTGCGGATGAGTATCATTCAACCAGAGACACACAAGTATTGATTTTGGAGTTCCCTCCGTTCTCTGCAACATGTTAAATATAATTGACAAACAAGAAAAAATCCCAAAGAGTCAGCAGAGTTCTTTAACCTCTTAAACTCTGCCGGAGCCTCCGCTGGCTCCATCTTTACAAACTGTTGTGCTGCCAAACATGGAAATGTAAAAAGTCTTTCATCCAACTTTAAAGCTGATAGACGTATTTTTTGAATTTTGTATGTGACATTACAGTAACACCACTCATTTAAATCCAGGGTTCTTGTGGCTCCTGCTGGGCCTTCAGTGCCGCAGGGGCCTTGGAGGGCCAGTTAGCCAAGACCACAGGGAAGCTGGTGGACCTCAGCCCCCAAAACCTGGTGGATTGTTCAACCAAATATGGCAACCACGGCTGCAACGGTGGCTTCATGCACCAAGCCTTCCAGTATGTCATCGACAACCACGGCATCGACTCCGATGCTTCATACCCCTACACAGGACGGGTGAGTCACTGGCTTAATCCTGCTGGTCAGAGATGCATCAAAGGGATCTGGAAAATCCATCACACTTGGACTCTAGGGAGTCTGTTTAGAACCTGTGGGAAACTGTGGGAAATGAATTTGATCTGTTTTGAATTTGATCTCCTACAAGCCCATGTATTGTGTTACGTGACGTTTCCAAAAATATATCTCAGCCACGATCTTTGTGACCTCTTTAATTAGCTGTTAAATCACACAGTCCTCACACCAAGCACGAAATGAGAACACAAAGTTAGAACAAGATATAAACTGAGATAGCAGCACTAATTCTGAATTCTCTGGCCTCAGTTTGCCATTTTATTTCTTTGACAAACACGTCTGTCACATCTTTGATGAAGCAATCATCCTCAGCTGTGTTGAGAAGGTAATGACCAGCAGGTGTAATACTAGGCACAGGTATGGTCTTTTGAAACAAAGGGCCAAAAGTGACTAACCAGGGGATGATCTTTTTTTTTTAAGGAAAGATGTGATGTAAAAAGAAAAGATATTAAGATGAAGAATTTACAAGATCTTTATCAGCAGGGGGAGTTTGCACAGTTGTCACTGAAAATATCTTAAAGACTTTGCTACTAATGGACTTTTTGTTTCCAAGGTCAAGAATTCAGTTTTAGGCATAACATCTTACTTGTGTTAATCAATCAATCAATATTTAGATGTTTTTTGTGTGTTTAAGTTATGTATGTTGTTTATTTTGGGGCCATAGTGCGACAACATTAACGGCGGATTAGAGTTTATCAGAGATAAATTAGTATAGGCTTATGTGCAATATGTTACATAAGGGATAATACCTGATAAGTTGTGTATTCTGTGATTGTAATGGATGACGAGGACCTGATTTGCCTCAGCGGAATTTATTATTTATTTAATAATAAAACTGCAACCACCCATTCCTGACTAAAAGCTAAAAGCTCATCCTCCACAATGTGTCCTCCTCCCTGAAGCTTACTTTGTACGGTTTTAGCCATATGCCTATATTATAACTTTGTGTGTAGATTAGTCGATTAATCAATCAATTAATTTAACAAAAATTAATCTACAACATTTTTAATAATTGTTTAAGCATTCTCTAAGCATAAATTGCCACATTTCACAGGTTCCAGCCTCTCAAATGTGAATATTTGCTTGTTTTCTTCCATGTCTGTGACAGTAAAGTGTATGTGTTTGGGACATTTGAAGACATTACCGTGGCCTATCTGCTGACAATTATGGAATCGATAATGAAAATAATTGTTAGTTGCAGCCTTGGAAACTGCAGCACGAGATAGGTAACGTTGCCTCAGTGTTGTTTGGTTCCATGGTGGAAAGGAATGAAAGGTGACAGTTGTACATACTGTAATTGGTCAGTACTTACCCTCCCCATTAGGGGCCTAATGCTTATTTATGGTAAAAGAGGGATGATTGTTGTTCTCTTATGAAGGCTTCAGGACAGATTTTTACCGCGTGTTGTTTTCCGAGTTTACAAGATATTAAAACATGTTTTGGAGTTTTTTAAGTGGAAACATATAGGAAACCCAGTGCAAACTGAGGTTTACAGTACTCCTGTATGAGAAAACAATGTGGGTGTACGAGAAGTTAAGTCCGGCCCTTCGGGCTGTAGACAGCAACACTCTTCTCACTTGTCTGTGGTCTGCTGTTAATGTCTCTTTGGAGCAACAATAAATTAATCGGAGCGGACAACGTGTTTGTCCTCCAGGCTTCTTCTGGTTCGCTGTTGTTCGTGTTGGTGTGGAGGAGGAGGGCAGTTCTGAGTAGATCCGACAGACTGTTCCAGCCTCGCGGAGGTGTTGTGGCTCTAATTCACCCGAAAAATAAATAAAAACTCTTTTCTGTGATGTGAAATATTCTCTTAATAAGCGTATGTGGCTGATATTCCCTTTCTGACTCACCTGCCAACAGCTGCAAAATGTAAAATCAACAGCTGAGACAATTAAAAAGTTAATATTTTTCATAAATGGACGTCACCTTAGTTGGCGGGTACAGTTGTGCCTCGGGCCAACTCCAGATCATTTGAGAAATTACTTTTTCTGCATTCCTATTAGGTGCTTTATTTAATACCATCAGATCTAACCCCAGTTTGTCTTCTCACTTCAGAATGGAGATTGCCACTACAACCCTCAGTTTCGCGCAGCCAACTGCTCCCAGTACAGCTTCCTGCCTGAGGGGGATGAGGGGGCTCTGAAGCAGGCGCTTGCAAACATCGGACCCATTTCAGTGGCGATCGACGCCACGCGGCCCACCTTTACTTTCTACAGGAGCGGTACGTTGCACATCGTCAGCTGCACATGCTCACGGCTGTATGACCTCTGTTGTACAGAGAGATCTTTTTTGGAGGGTTGGGGGTTGATTTTTAACATGTATTTATACGAAAAGCTCAAGTTAACGCCCCACTTCTTGTGGTTTAACGTCTCACCTTGCTGCGTGTGTGTACTCACTGTTAATTGTAGGTCAAGGTGCAAAAGAGCAAACTGTTTAGTTTTCTTGAACAAAACACTGAATCTCTCACTTGCTAGAATAGTGTAGCAATATATTGCTATATTTGTACACTGCACTGATGATGATCCAACTTTTTTGTATAATATTTGTTAAAGAAAAATACATTTAATAGAAATAAATACATTCCTGGCATAAATGTTTCTAAAAATAATAAATATATAAAATGAATGTAATGAGATGGATTTTGACTCATTTCAGGAGTGTACAATGACCCAAGCTGCTCCCAGAGTGTGAACCATGGGGTGTTAGCTGTGGGCTACGGCACACTGAATGGACAAGACTACTGGCTGGTAAAGAACAGGTGAGACCTCCGCTAATAGTCCATACATGATGTACATATTGTTCTCATGTGTAGCTCCAATCTGGTCCTGTATGTGGTGCGTATTGGCTTATAGGACACAGGGGAAGTGAAACAGGGAAGTTAGAGCTCTACAGGAAGGTTGACTGTGTATCAACAAGCAAAGACCCGCCCCTCTTCTCGTTTCTCAATTTGGAACATCCTCAATTTCTTTCGTGCCTCCTCTCCTTGCGTCTGAGGCCCATTCTCGTTTCAGAGCCGTGGTTTTACAGGACAGGCAATTAGATATGACGCGTTGCACCGCCGCAACTTCTGTATCCTGACTTCCCAAGCATACAGCCGCGCATCCTCACGCATGATTCCTCCGGCAAGCCTCCTCTCTCCTCGAGATGCAGTTTAGGAATTGAGATGTTCTTCCAGATGGCGCGCTAAGATCGATTTCCGGGTCACAGGCAGGACGACGGAGAAGAGAGAAGCGGAGGTGGTACAGAATGGAGAAATGAGAAGTCTCCCAGCTGTTCGGTTTAGGGTTTGGGTGTTTTGCTGACATGAGTGTAGCGGTTTAATAGACTTTAAGAACTCTGCGCCTCAAGGTTGGACTAAGTCACAAAATAATTTGTGTGTAATAGAGAAGAAGGAGTTATATTTCTCATCGCTTATTGCATGACAAACATCACAATTTCCCAATCTATTACCGCTGACCTCATCAGGCCTGTTTTAGCTTGTATTAATCCACTTTCTATGGGTCTCACCACACAGTGTATTGCTCAATCATTTTGTTCTACAAAGATTTGTTTTAGATGTATAATCATTGACTCTGTTGCTCCATATTTCATAAAATAATATTTTTTTAAAGCAGTGCTCTATCTTATCTCCTGCCAGCAGACACTTTTCAGTACTGTTACCTTTCATTTAAATAATGTAATTTCTAAATTACTTTGACAGAATCTTAACATGGATTTTTTTTATCACCTGTTTTTTTAATTGAGGACATGCAGCAGTGAGATGGTGGATGGGGTGAACCATATATGTAAATACAATCTGGTCAGGTTAGGACATTATAGCTCACCTGAGAAGACTTGGGGCCTTAACACTTATGGCTTTTTTAGGCATTTTATAATTTTATAAACATATCAAAAGCATTTTGAGATTTCGAACGAGTGTGAGTTATTAATTATAGAGACAATGATATTCATGATAACTGTGTTATCTGTATCAATCAACTACACCTCTGCCCAGCCCCTTTTAACACACATTGTGCTGAGGGATAGATAGTGTTTAGCATCACATAAAGTATGACGTAAACCAAATGTTGCCAGTGTTCACCTGTAGATTTGATCATCTATTTATTTTTAGAACTTTATCAGATGAGTAACCACATTCATCCACTGCACATCCATCACCCACCATCTTCCCTTATTATAGAACTCTTTTGAACACTGAAAACAGTTCATGCTAAACTATTAGCACGAGATGCTAAATATTGATCGACTTCAGGCACGTGGATGACTCTTTCTCATCACTTAACAAGGTTGTTTACTGATGAATCACTAGCCCAAAAACCTATATAAACCTATGTATATCCCTTTAATTATATTCTTGTGTTTTTCTCCTCAGCTGGGGAAGAACCTTTGGAGACCAGGGCTACATCCGGATGGCACGCAACAAGAACGACCAGTGCGGCATCGCTCTGTACGGCTGCTACCCCATCATGTAGCTGCAGCGGGAACTGAAATGAATCTGTTGTTAAACTAAGTTCCCTTCTCTATTTTTCTTACAATATTTTTACAGTTAAATTTCACATTGATTATCACATATACGATTTTCTTTTTTTAAGATCTGTTTTGTTTTTGATTCCTTTTTATGACGAAAGCCAAAAATGGCAGGTCTACAAATACTACAGTGTGAACTTGTTTTGTAAGACGGTGTGCTTGTTTGTGTCTGTATATATGGATGTGTGTGTTTGAATCTGTAATAAAGAGACAGATGTACTCCTTGCTGAGGCTCAGTCACAGTGAGACATGCCAAGTCTAGATCGATATATCAGTTTATCGATCCGCCCAATGTCTGCCTTTCAGTAAATATCAGGTCCGTGTTCTGTGCCGTAGATGCGATGAAGGTGAATATCTGATTTTACACCGCCAGTTTCAGGTTTGTCAGTCTGTTAAATCTGCCATGAAAACTGTCTGAAAGGATTGCATTGACTCTATGGAAAATTGGCTTGTTGGTCAATTTAGCCTTTACATGTTACGACACAAGGAACGCCAAAATCAATACTCTACTGTCTCTGGTAAATATCTCCGTCCTGTGCACATGCTGATGTGATATGCTATAGTAGCTGCCTGCAGGCCAGTGACATTGTCTTGGGCAAGAAGAAAAGCCTTTTGCTATTTCTTTTCGACTGACCTTCTTTTCAAGCATTGAGTTACGAAAATGTCAATTGACCCTTCTTAAGTCCCGCCCCTTTTGGAACCTCTGTCAACTTCCTCCTTTCCTGTACTTTAAATATGCTAGGCTTGCAAATTTTGAAGATAGTTAAGATAAAGCGACATAGTCATATCTTAAGTTAGCTAACGTTAAATTAGTAAAATTCTAGCTAACTAGCTAGCTAATCTACGTTAATTGTTATCTACCTAACTTAAGATGTGACTAATGTTGCTTTTATCTTTTAACCAGCAAACCAAAATTTGCTTCTTTTCAATACAGAAGAACCTAGCACATAGCATATCGTATCCTACAGGCAAAGATAAAATTGAAGATAGATTTAATCTTCAATAGAGAGCTTTGTACAGGTTATGTGTTACTCTGTTTCCAGTCTTTGTGTGTAGATAAGCTAACTGGCTGTTGGCTTTAACTTCATATTTAGCATACAGTCTTTCTCAGGAAGAAAGCAAATAAGTTACAAAATAATAATAATTTTGAACCATTTCTGTAAAAAATGCTGGCCAAAGACTGTCAGTAATATGTATCTTGAAGTCCACCATTGGTCCATCATCAGAAAAGCATTGTTTAAACCCACAAAACTTTACATTTTAAATTGAAGTGGACATCTAAAACCTTCCAAAAATATCAAATATGTGAGGCTGAATTTGGGGAACAATTTGGAACACAATTGGGAATATTGTTGCTTTATGTTAAATAAAATATGAAAATAAAAACGTGTAGTCTGGCGTTAAATATTGCCATATATGGCACCAGATGCTAAATGTATACTGTGTATCTGTCATGCAACTTTAGGGGGATACCAGGGTAGAAGGTGATTTCTTGTATTCTTGTTGAATGAATATAATCTAAGAGTAGAGTTTAAGCGATGTATTAACAGCATTTTCAAACAATCCTGGTGACAGTGTTGGCCTTTAAAAACCCAGAGCAACTTCTTCGCTAACACCTCCAACAAGGTCAGAACAAAGTCCACAGAGTACAGTGTTGGGTTACAAATGAGTCATTTTTATTTTTTTAGTGCAACATCACAACAAACAATTTTCACATGAGGTATTCAAAGGGATTTTCTTTAGTTGTTGATACAAAATGTCCCACCATGATTGACGTTTAAAGTGTTGTGTATCTTTTTTTTTTTTAAAGCCTTTGGTTGGTTAGCCACATTCATTAGTAAGTCTAACACATGGACAAGAATGGCACGATAAAGCATGGTGGGTCGAGTCCAAGCTGAGGAAACTCAGACTCAGTCAAATATAATATTTCCCTCAGCTCTTCCTCGTTTAAAGCTTTTTGTATGGATTTCATTAATTCCTACTTACAACAGTGGGATCGAACAGTATTTCAACTACACTAAACATTTTGGAAAAAACGGGGGTGGGAGGGGTGGCTTACAAATGTGGAAAAATAGCTTCTGTCTCCTCCGACCTTTTTTATTTTGGGATGAGTGCTTGATTCTTGGGCTTTTCTGTTACAGCAAGTCACATGATTCTAGATTTTGGAAAACAAGGAATAGGCAACGTTGATTACAGCAAGATCCTCCTTGCTTGGATTGTCACCTCCTTTTTTTGGTCTTGAGAATGATTTTATTTATATACAGAACATGGATCAATGGGACACTCTAGCATACTGGATTTAAGCTTTGGCTGGATGGAGGCCTCGTTTGGCTCCTGTTACGGATTGATTCCAGCACATTTGGTTTGGAGTAAAAGGCATGAAGAAGAGACGGATGGACAGACAAGATAGATAGATAGATAGATAGATAGATAGATAGATAGACAGACACCCTGACAGGATGGATTCTTTGGTTAAGGAATATCTTTGCCACACAACATCTCACACAGTTGAGGTAGATGGGTAAAGTCTTCATGTACACAAAGGGGAGAGGGCAGGGACAGACAGGGGGACACTGGGTTTACAGAGTCAAAAGACTTCCATCTGAAGACACTGCCTCATGTCAGTTTCTCAGTTCCAGCTCAACATAATACTGTTTTATGCAACATAAATAATCAGCACGCGGAATCCCACTGGTGCTTTTTTGAATCCTCTGAGTGCTACGATAGCTCTGATAGGGAACTGCTAAAACTACCCAAGATACATAATGATTCAGCAGTTACCCATCAATCTTTGGTTGTTTTTTTGGTTTAAACATTATCAAAAAATTAATTTTTTGTGTTCTTTTTTTTTTTTTTCACTCTGAAAGTATTCGCTTTCAGTTCTGCTATTTCATAATTTCCACTCCCCTCAGAATTGCTCTACAACGGCCTTGGCTGCCAGACTTGTTTCAGGGTCATGTTTCCGGAAAAGCCACTAGGGGGTGCCGCAGGCTAAGATGGCAATGTGGATCACCTGCAGCAGCCAACTAGATTCACTCCTCCCTCCCTCCCACCTCCTCTCTGTACAGAAAGGGAAGAGCTTCCCCGCTTGACAGGAGCAGAAGGTGGCTCAATACAAAAAGCTCTGTCTCCATTTTAGACTCCTAGTCAGAGAGACAAAGAGAAACCTGAAAGGTGTCACCTCAGCTTTGATACAATGACAGTAGCGAGCAGGGGTCAGCACAGGAGCCTCCAAGCTCTTTTATTTTTTATTTCCCCCCCCTGTACAGACTCAACCGCACACCCCCACCATCACCCCCCTTTGCTCTCAGCGTACTTACAATTGTTGCTCATTAAAGTTTAATTCAGCTCCATGCCCCACTACTCCAACACCTCCTATTCCTCAAACAACCTCCCTCCCACCTTTCCTACACACACACCACTACCACCATCCTCATTCTGGATGATTCAGCCTCCTCTCTGATCTCCCCCCGCCCCCTTTGAATGCCCCCTAAAGCCCACAGGTCTGGCCAAGAGCGGACCCCAGACCAGATACCCAGAGAGGAGACGGGATGAAAAAAGCCTCGCCTTTGAAGTCTGTGAAAAAGTCGATGGCCTCTTTCATGACCGCCCGTCTTTCAAGTGCACGCTGTGAAGGGGGCCCTGGCAATCCGCCCCTTCCAACGTTAAAGACAGAGAAAGAGCGAGGAAAAGAGACATAGAGAGAGAGAGAGAGAGAGAGGGTGGAAAAAGGCCAAGCTAACCTCGCCACTCTTTGGCAGCATTAACACAGGAGTCAGAGAATCAGATCTTGGGTGATTTTCTCCTGAATTAGGCATCCACAATGCAAAACACTAGCAAATCAAACCACTTGTGTCTGTGCTTGTTGCTGACTAGAGAACCTTAGATGATCAGGAATGAACCCCAACACTCTTAGAGGGCCAGACACAAACCCTATGAGCCTCGGAAGCCTTGCAACAAAATCAGAGATTCCCCCACAATCAGGAACAAACTCTAAGACCCTTAGAAGTCCAGGGACAAAGCCTCCAAGCCTAAGAGGCCTCACAACCAAACAAACTCCCTAAGACCTTCAGAACCTCGGGCACATGAAACTAGATCCCCAGAAGGTGAGGAAGACACCTTAACAACCCCGAAGGTCAAGGAACGAACCCTAATCCTCTTGGAACTGAGACAACTGTCAGAAGGGCTTGGCATGTGGAGGACGGTGAGATCACACTGAGTTGGACATAGACAGGAGTGTCTGCACTGTACTGGGGAGGGGGGGCAGGTGAGGGAGATGGGGGTGGTCACAACCATGCATTTCCCCAGGCAGACACACAGTACGCATGTTTGCATGTGACCCTGAAGGACTCGCACTCAATGGGGCCTTCAGACGACGCTTTAAGTGGGTCCCCAGATACTTTACACACTCGGCCAGATGGCATTGGTCTGAACACAACTTTACAAGCAACCTGTGAACCTATGGGATGCCACATCATAATCGTTATTATTATTATTATTATTCATAGTATTATTAATTATAAATATTATCACAACATTCAAACAAGCTTTGGCCTTGGCGTTAAGAGCTGACCGCAGAGACATTTGCAAGAGTAAAGAAATCCCCATTATTCTACAAAAAAACAAAGAAAAAAAACAAAGGCCAGGCCTTAAAGATAGAGAGAGATACGTAACATCACTGGGTGGGTTGGGTTGGATCGGGTTGGGATCGGGTACTGGGTTTAGGGATTCAGGCCGTACATTCAGGGAGGCAATGTTTATCTTTGGTATTACGATGGGATTCTACAGCTAAAAGTGCCCATCAGAAAAAGTCTTCAGTTTCACACAGACATACAGAGCATTGTTAAATAAATACTTACAGTATATAGATAGCATAAATAAATAACCAAATAAATAGAGAGAGAAAAGAAAAAGGAAAAACAATAAATACATAAATGCAGTAATAAATACATTGATCAGATCAGCAATTGCATTTGAAACGTTCTTGGTTTGATTTAACTATTGGCTATAAGGAGGCATGTTAAAGCCTTTCCTTTGTGGACCAAAAAAATGACCTTGTACGTCAGCAGGGCTGAAACAAACTGCCCCGCACTTCCAACGTGTTTCTATAAATAGAGCGATGTGCTTGAAATCTGTACAAAAAGGGCTGAAAGAATCACATTCCTCCATTTTCTAGACATCTGTAAAAAAAAGATTTCGTAATGGAGCAGAGGTGTGTACAGTTGTTTGGAAATGAGTGGAAAAAAATACTACAATGTCACTATACATTGTGTCAGGCGTATCTCTTCCCCCGTGGAGCCTTTGTGTTCAAAGGTTGTTTTTCATTTTTTCTTTTTTTTTTTGGCTTGATTTTGAGTCAAAAAAATGGCTGTGGAGCTTTCGTTTGGAAGCTCAGTGAGAGTCTTAAAGCTAGACAGTTGCACCAACAAGTCTGTTTCTGCGTCCTACTTGCGTTTATTGATTCTGTCCTGGCGTACGGAGATGCACTGCGGTTCCCCCTTGAAAACTCTGATTCATTCAAGGCGGGACCATCTTCACAAAATACAGGAAAGGCTCCTGTTCATGGTACATGATTGACAGCTGGGAGTCACGGACGCTACAGAACCCTCCTGAAAATCCCAGGCTCCGAACTTGGAACAACGCCATACAGTCCTGGGAACCATCACCATGGCAACACATGCTAAGAAAGGGGAATTAGGTTCTTCAGAAAAAATGGGACGTTAAATAAAAAAGCCTTCCTTCCTCTTTCACCTTGATTCTTGAGGAAAAAAAGGATCATAAGAACATTTGGGGAGGATTAACGTCTTTGGATGATGGACAACACTTTTGATTAAGAAGTTACACAATGGAGCTCTCCAGATGTGAGCAAACGGCACCTCTTGATTCTTCACGTTTGGAGAGATGACTATAGATTTGAAGGTACATCAAAATATGCTTTCTCCTGATTTGTAATACCCTCATTATCTCTAATCTAGATAATCAAAATAATGCAATGAGATGGTGTCTATGTAAGGGTGTGACTCTTCTTTGAGTCAAATCATCTTTGCACCCTTGACTATACAAGCAGGACCTCACGTCCTGCGATCATATCACTCTGGGTATCGCCCCCTTCTATTTCAAGGGAGCGATCGACTTTGGTTTGGGAAAAATGCTTCATCTTCATAAAATCATCTATAATAGCTGGCTCCGTCGCTCCTTCTGATAACGAGGAGGACATTTATTACGGCTGATCTCTGCCTAGACCAGTCTATGTGCCCCCTTGCTCCCTCGGCGCCCTCCCCACCGCACCTCCTCAGCGGTCCATCATCATGCCGTGCTGCAGGACACTGCGGAGGAGGAAACGCTGGAGCCTGAGGAACCCGTGGAGGAGGGACGGCCCTCGTCTGCCCACTTGTTGAGGTTGCGTCGGCGGGCGTTCATGAAGAAGTTGCTGACAGTGGAGAGCTCCAGCCCCAGCTGCTGGGAGATGGTGACCTGCAGCTCTTTGGTCGGGCGGTGGTTCTCCCTGAAGATGGCCAGGAGCGTGCGCCGCTGCAGGTCCGTGAACACCAGCCTGGTGCGCTTCGGGCCCTGGTTGCGCTCCAGCTTGCTCTGTTCCTGCTCCTTTCGCTTGCAGGCTGCGGGCAGATGGATAAAAGATAAATTAAAAAAGGAAAGGGGAAACAGGTTAGCTAACAGACTGGCTAGCTAACTAGGACAAATGGATTAAGCTGAGGGAAAGTGGATTTGCTGAAAGAAAACAGATTAGCTAAGCAACTTTGATTAGTTAAAAGAGATGAATCAGCAACTTGTTTCATTGTGCAGTAAAGGAATCAAGATGTTCAACCTATCACATCGTGTTGTTAGTGAGCTGCTGTAGACTGATGGGATAAAACAGATCAGTACATCCATCCTTTGTGGTTTTCATTATGCTCCTTCCATTTTAGAAAACAGTATATTTTTACATGGCCTAAAGTGAAAAATCTGGTGTGGTCATCCAATGACAATGGCTGTCTTCCAAAAAAAATAATCACATTCAAACACACACACACACGCACACAGATACACCAGCGAACCCAATAGTAATCATTTTCAGCCAAAATCTTTCACCTTCTTTTTCTCTTGCTACGATGTCATTTCAGTAATTTATTTGTCACTAGAGGTGGTACTTAAATTTATTAGAGTACTAATGGATACAGGCTTTTACTTGTCCATGTCTGTTCTACACTTTAAACTGCAATCTACATTCAGAGGCACAAGGGAAAACATAACAGTGAGGCCAACGCAAGAGACAAACTGCAGAAACATTAAATCATTTACTTACAGATTAGCATTAACTACTCAAAACTATACATTTGTTTTTTTTAACCTCCTGTAAATGCATCTAAAATAAACTGATCGCCACTTTTTAGTCAGACACTGCCTATATAATATACTGATATAATATATCTGTTTTTCATACTGCGGTCCACAGAGGATAAAAACAGTCATTATTTCTTGCTAAATTAGCTTAGTGTCAGAGTTGTCCATATTCAAACTTTTTAAGCGGGGAGAGAGGTGATGAAGTCTTCTGGTATTCTGTTTTTTTAATGTCAGTCTTGCTTACACCAACCACAAAATAGAAACTCAGGGTCTGGGTTAAACACCACTGTAACTGCGGCAGCCAGCCCAATTATATAATCAATATTCCCTCACGAAAAGTCTGAAATTTAAAAAAAATTACCCTGTGAAAAAATAAAAAAGCCTCTTTTGTTCAGTGAAGAGGAAAAATAGCCTGATGTGTGTGGGCTGAGCTCAGATCCATTTTGAGAATCAGACGAGCATTTTGAATTCAGGCTGCATGTTCCTCTGCATATCCATCGCTGAACCTTTCCCCTCTAACACGCTGTAATTCTGTATTTACAGGAAACACAACACCAACCTCTGCCTTTGTGTACCGAGCCAACTTCCCATCCCTTTCCTCCCTTCTCTCTCTCCCTTTCTCTGTCCATCTCCTTCCACTTCCTCTCTTCCCTTTCCCTTAGTGGACACTTCAACATCATTAGTTTCTCATAAAAGTCATTTACATGTGGCGGCAGTGAGTGAGTAATAATCACTTTAGGGGGAACTAATTTATTTTCTATTAAAGGCGGGTTACGTCAGGGGTGAGTGAAACAAGCAGAGTCGGCATTGCCCAGGGTGTTTAGAAGCCTTAAGTGGACTAAAACATATTTGGGGGAGTCGTGCAATTACCTAAATGCACACTTTTAAGAGTTTTCAATCAGCACTGTGCGGTTGAGCGACTGTTTTGCTGATGGTATCAAATGCGTTTCTAAGTGTAAGCATTGGTGCATGTGTACACAACACAACAAGGCTTGCACACCAACACACACACACACTAAGGGAGGACTAGTAAATTGGTGCAGATGCTGGACTTTTACTGAATACTGGCCTAGAGGTCTGGAAGCTGGAAACAAAAAGTGTATTTCTTTTCGTTTTTTTGCTCATTAATGTAATTGTGCTCTAATGTTTGGAAAATAAAACTATTATTTTATTTTGTATTGCGAGTTAAATTAGGATTTATAATGCTGTTTCAGAAGCTTTCACCCTCAGAGGAATAATAGTGTGGGGGCAACACTGAATCACTGGACAATCTGTATGTGAATAAGTCATTTTTGTGTAGAAAAAGAGTCAGATGTCTTATTTTCTTAAAGAATGTTAACGAAATTGGCTAGAACAACATTATTTCAACCTGTTTTCTACTCAAATTAAATGTTTCAAGAATTTTCCAGAAATGAATGTCTGTATTTTGAAACATGACAGGAGAACACAGAACTAGAACTAGAAAAATAACACTAGATTGTACACTAGAAAAATATATTGAAACAAGCTGATTTCTAGTGGAAACTAGTTGAAATATTTTTGCTGCACTGGCTGATTTCCTTACTTTTTTTTTGTTTTTTAAAACAAGGTTTATGGAACTCTATTATTGACAAAAATGACTTCATCTCCATTAGATGGAGATATCAGCACGCAATAACCTTGAAATCCCATATTTCAATATTTAAGACACAATCAACCACAGGCATGCCTCAAACATAAACCCCAGATGCTGCCTTGTGCTCTCAAAACAGCTCTGACAAGTTCAATTGATTGGCTTACATGTTCCCATTGAGAAACATCTCACACAGCGAGGGCTGCTGCTGATGTTTACTGTATGACCAGCTCTTCCCTCCTTAAACTCAGAGCGGCAAATTTCTCTCATTAGCAGAGCGCCTGAGAAATAAGTGTGACCTTACTGCCGTCTTTTCCACCCGAGTGCCATCACAACGGCAGCATCAGAGCTGGGTGGGGAGCCGTGTGTGTGTGTGTGTGTGTGTGTGTGCGCGCACGGCACAGTCAGACTTTGATTGCTCTGACATCCAGCTGAGTTTCTGAAACTTAACTACTCAAGTGGACATGAATAAATCTCGCTGTGATTTCCCCGTGCACGTTCTCCTCTAAAATCATTATCAGAAGGAAATGTTTTGACTCTGGGATGCACTCTTGTCAACTTGAGATTACAGGTGCCTGTTAGCTTTTAGGCATCCAGAGCTCGTTTGCATTTCTGAGAGTTATCGATGCACGTCTCGTTAAAATCTGAACAGGCCGACATGTCAGCGGCATGTCAATATCACTACAAGTGAAATAAATTTTTTTTCAAAACACTACATTTTTCACGGGCGTTACACCATCCCCGCCATCAATATTTCTGGGCTGGGGGTTGGGGGGTGGGCTGCAGCTATAGAGGGTATATACAGTGGTGCACTCTCAGCTCATGTAGTAATGAAAGGAATGACATGATAGTGCTGGCTAGCTTGCTTGTAGTGTGGATTTATGGCTTGTTGGAGGAGTCAGGGTGTCCTGCCGCTCTCCTCCTCCTCCTCGCCTCCATCCCATCCTCGGCTCTCTCCCTTCCTGACGATCATAACGCCGACCATTAAGTAAATGCTTCCTTATGCTGTAATCATGTGTAAAAGGCTCACAATTACCATGCTATAAATCCCCGGCGCTGGGGCTACTCCTGCAGACATAAATATTCCCCTATAGGCTTCTTATGATCGTGGGAACAGCCCCTAATCATGATGTATGCCCCTGTCTCGTGTTGCTGAAACGTGATCGAAAGCCCTTTCCCTACCCCCCGGCGTCTCAACCTACACCCCCCCTCCCAGCCAGAACACACCCCCCCCCAAC